ACCCCAGAAAAACTAAACGAAAGTCCATCACGTACTGGCGCAGGTGTATTCCTCGCCATTCTATATTTTCTCCCCCCCTCAACACGACGGGAAATTTTTGCATCGAGAAAGACGGTTTATGGAATTAATTCAAGAGAATGAAAAAAAATGTGTTGGCACCTGTCGACCACCTGGCACCCGGAGAATGCTGGTGGTAATTTGAAAAAATCGAATGACGAAACCGATGTGTTAAATCAACAGAAAGAAACGAAGAAGAAAATAACTCTTATCATCACGTGTTGTTCAATATTTACACAGTGGACTCTAGACAACCGCGATAACGATAACCCGATTGCGGAAGTCGATTGGAGAGAAAAAAAAAAAATCAGGACAGAGGTTAAATTCCAAACAGAGTGTGAAAATAATTCAATGTCTAGTATTCCCTGAGAATAACCCAGTTTGAGCGATTTATGCGTCGGGGGAGGTACACTGTTAGCAATTTTTCGAAATTTAAGTAACAGATGCATTTGAATTTTCAATATGCGGAACTTGAATTCAATTTTAGACTAAATTGTCCATGGCATTCTCGATTCATCTTGGAAATTTAATAAAATTAAGTTTTTCATGAATGATCATTGAATTTTCAATGACAATTTGGATTTTTACACCTATTGCGAAAATTAAGCATTACGTTCAATTAAATTTTCAAGAGATTAAAAATTCAGAAGAAAATTTGCCTGAATTTTCACGATTTTCAGAAGTTTTCACTGTCGTATAAACCTGAGAAATCCAATTTCATTGAATGTTCCAGAAAATTGACTGATTTATCAATAACATGATCAATGGAAATTCCATGTAAATTATTCGTTATTAAAAATTTTACGATTTTTTACTTGAAATTTCAAGAGTAATTTTCCAACAGTTAGCAATTTTGTTAGAAAACTGTTAGCAATTTTTCGAGATTTCATGGAAAAAAAGGTAGTAATTTTCATGAATGTGACATTGAATCCGATTTAGGGGGAAAATGGTTATGAAATTTCACAACGTAACTAAATTTTCAATGCAACATGAATATTCAGAAACAAAATGACATGAATCTTCAATTTTTCCCTGAATTTACCTGTTTTTTCGAATTTCCACGGAATAATTGAATTGAAAAATCAAGTATTTTACTGATTTTCAGATCATTCAATCAGAAAATCAATGGAATATTTTATTTTTCAAAGAAAAGATTTCCTGAAATTTCAGTGAAAATTAAACGCGGTGGAAATGTGTGGCCTAGTGTAGGCCAGAGGTCACAGTTGACACTTCCCCGTCAATGTGCCACTACCACGAGTTACTTGGAGAGCACGTGAAATGCATAACGAGGTGGTGATTATTTCCCTCCCTGGGAGTAGCGCCCACACACATTCAATGGAAAACGGTGAGCCAGAGGAAACGGTTTGGAATACGATTAGTTGGTGGTATTACATGTGGCTATCCGGTCCAGTTCCATTCTGTGGACACGACGCGAGTGATAAAGCTGCTTTTCTCTAGCTAAAGTGATAATAATCTTGGAATTTTTACAAACCACGGGTTTACATGGAATTTCCATTTACATTGTTGGAAATACATTGAGATTTCTTGGTCTGTTTGATAGGAATTTTTAGGAAACAAACGTTGAATTCGATGTGGGCAGTAGGGGACTGAAAAAATTTCAAATTTCATTGGGATTCCGAGCAGTAAAAAGATGATAATTTTTCGTTCCTTAAGCGAATTGTGAATGTTCACCATCAAATTACCCTGAACTTTCAATTGATGAAACTTTTAGAATTCATTTACCTAAATTTTTAAATGAACTGAAATTAATTTTTCATTGATTTTTAAATGAAAATTGTGAATTTTCAATGACGAAATACCTTGAAACTCCAGTCCAAAATTTTCAAGTGTTCATATTTTTCTTGACAAATTCGTTTAAATGAAATATCCATTTAACGGAGTTCCACGCAATTAACAATTCTAAACTGAAATATATAATTCAAACTTCAAACTGAAATTCACACTTTTCACGCATTTTCTCATCCCCAAAACTAAATGAAAACAACCCCTCATCTCTCTCAAACACCTAAAATCTTCAATAACACTCATCACCCACGATTTAGAGTTGCGTTGACCTTGAGTTGTGCCCCTCCCTCATATTTTTTTCGTCGAGTGAATGAATCATGAATTACAAGGGAGTTTGCGAATGAGAAACAATGGAAGAGCAAAATAATTCCAGGTCATCGTTTGAAGACATGTCTCGTCGGTATACCATCGTGGACAATAATCAAACGGAAACGAGGAACGAGTCTCCACACGCAGCTGGCGCCCGGAAACAACACCCATTCACTCATTTCAAACTACGTCCATACACGTTAAATGTGAACGTACTTGCACAAATACACGAACAAGAGGGGAAAAAAAAAGTAATACACATGACCAAGTCTCGAGACGTTTCCCCTATTCTCAAATGGACATATATATACGTCATGTATTCACATATGTGCGGCCATTTTATAGCACTTATTCACATGCGAGACACGAAGAAAGCGCCTAGGGGACTCTGACAGTCACGCGATAGTCATTTTTACACAATTTCTTATTTATAAGTCTCTCCTTTTATTGAACAAAGGAAAGTGCAATGGTGTTGCACTACTCTTCAACTAGGTGATTCAGGTATTTAGTTTTCTCAAACTAGAAGTCGAGTTATGTGAACTTGTGAGAAGTACTCCGTTTGTATAATTAACGAGGGAAGGAAGTTGAATAAAGTTATGATGAGAGTGCAATTCCAAGTCATGTTACTTTACCATGAAAAAACATGCATTGTCGGGCACTTTTATCGCATTATAATGTCACTTCAAATTCAAAACTCCACGAAAACTTCTTGAATTCTCAACTAATTGATAATTCATTGAATTTCCCCTGAAATCTAAAATTCCCAGTCAACTGTTCCTGAAATTGCACTTTTGCCGGCAACCTGTCCTTCCCGCGGCTATTGTGATCTCGAAACTAGAGTAAACTGAATTATCCAAGATTGATCAACAACTTCTGACGCAGCTCCGAGGGTCTATCAATGCATAATAAGTAAAAGTAAATAGACTCACCGTAGCATTCTCTCATGTCGATCCCTCTCGAGCAACTCTTCGGGAGTCGGTTGGCCGGGTGCCAACAACGAGTGCGACAATGACGGATACCTGGGAGGCCTCCACAGCATCTCAGCCGCAGCAGCCGGATGATGATGCCCAGCAGGACTCTGATATCCCAATGGTGTTGTACTGGGTGGTGCTGTTACAGTTTGTCCAGTACTACTAGCACCACCACCAGCAGTACCACTCGATGGATGTGCCATCATCAATGAAGTATGTTGTACACTGTGTACGTGCCAAATACGCGCTGGTAGTGCTGAATTAACAACAGTCAATGGTACAGCAGTGTCTTCAGCACTCAATGCTGAACTACGACTGCCACTTCTCTCGTCACCAGATCCAGCACTTCTCAGTGAGCTTATCCCACTGTCCGAGCCACTATCACCATATGCACCACTTCTACCGGTAATTGGTGTAATCCCGATGACACCACATGGCCCCCCAGGTACACCAATAGCACCGGCCTCCACCTCCATGAGATGGCTGCCGGCATCATCGCCAATGCGCGATGAATTCAACGATTGCGATGATCCTTTGTCACTCACATCAATGAGGCCCGATGTCAGGATATGCTGATTATGTGGACTAGCACGATGATGATGAATCACCGGGCTGCCTGTTGTGTATCTACCAGGATGATATTGCTGTAGATGATGCTGTGGATAGTGATGAGCAGAGACGTTTGACGAGGGTGGTGGTTTGTTCAATCGTTCAGCTAGTATCACTGGACTCTCGTTGTGCCGGTTACGTTCCTGCTCTTCATGGAGCAGGCTGTGACGCCCCGGCACACCGTTCACGGGACTAAGTCTATCCAGCACGGAGCCGTCCTGCTTGCCAGACTCGTTCAACTCTACCTCGCTCTTCTCAACTCCCTTGCACTTCTCCTTAATCACTTGTTGGCTATTCGATCCCTCGGCCTCGGATGGATCTTCAGATTGATCTGGTGAAGTACTTTCACCTATTGATTCACCAATTTCTCCATTCAAATGTATCTCGTCCTTTGGCTCAACGTCTATCACCAAATTGCCACCAGTGTCTGGTGTCTCAGCAGGTGGTGGCTCTGGCTCTCTATCACGCTCACGTGATTCACTGTCCTCCTCTGCCTCAACGCTCGAATGTCTTACGTCAACGATTTTATCTTCATTCTCTTCTTTGTTCAATGGTTCACCTGCAACTTGCTTACTCTCGTTTGATTCTTTACTGTCTGACCTCAATTTTCGAGTGCTTGTCTTTAGACGCTTGACGAGGGGATCCGTAGGCTCTTGATAATGCTCGTTTTCCTCGATATCCTCCTCCAATCCTTCCTCATCAATCTCCTCCTCCTCTGATGTTCTTGTATCTAATCTCTCTTCTTTATCTTTCACACCGATATGATCCCCATCGTCAGTTCTATCTGTTTCAAACTTAACTGGGGTTCTTCTACTTCGAACTGATCTACGTGAATTGCTCTCGTTACTCTTTATACCGGTTGGACGTTTCCGCAATTTACCAGCACTACCTGATGCGTTGTTAGTCTCTTCGAGCACCGGTCTTGGGGTACGATTGCCAGGTTTACCAGTCGTTGGGCCCTTATTCTCTCTGTCCTCTTTGGATAATTCCTCGACCTTGTCACGTACTGTTCCCTCACTCACTCGTCCACGACGATTGTTATTCCTGGATGTGACTTTTTCTGAAACAGAGGAGATAAAAATGGGGAGATAAAATTATATTTTCACTTGTAAGCAATCTTAAGTATAGTTTAGCCGGAGGATGCGCGTGGTTGGAGATTCAGCCGAGCGAAAAAAGACAGCAACTGGGGAAAAAGGGAGGAAAATAACTGGTGGATTTATTGCTTAGGATTTACTGTTATTATCTTGAGGGAGCCGGTTTCTTACTTGCTCACTTCCTCCTCGAGTCATTCCCTATTTCATATTTTTTGCGTCTATTTTTCCATCTCTAAAAGCTTTTGCTGTTGCAGAGGTATAAGTCAGGGTTTCCGGATTGTTTTTGCTTTTGCAATGCAGTGGGAAGACATGGGCGGATAAACGAAGTGTTTGTGGTGAAAATATTTGGAGATTTTTGGAAAACTAGAACTGTGCGCGCGCTTATCTGTTCGTTGTGAAAATGAATTTATTAAATTTCATATACTCATAGATGTGTTATAAATATTGATGATGACTTGAAGAGAATTAAGAGAATGAATAGTGAAACATCAATGAATAAGTTTTAATCTTCGATGAATTCTTTTTTTCTTACTAATTGTTGAAAATGAGGAGAGGGTTATGATTTGATTTCCTAGAAAACTGAAAAAAAATCTTGAATTCTTCGCAAAAATTCACAGTTTTCCAGATAACCGCAGATTTTCAAAGATTTTTCTCGAATTACTTGGGAAACCGAAAATTTTTCATGAATTTTGTAGAGTTTAGAATTTATATATGAAATATAAAAAAATTAAAATTTGGGAAGTGAAAAATAATTTGCGGGTTAAAAAAATTTAGAAATACTTTTTTTTTTCTCATGATCATGAAGAAAATATTTGGAGATTTTAGACGGGTTCTTTTGAACTGAAGCGGATATTTAAATTCTGGAGGGGGGGATGCTTCGTACCCTTTCGCTCGTGTACAATAGAAGCGTTCGATATTTATTGAGCTGGCATTAACCCGTTCCAGGCTCCCTTTTTGCAGACGTTTTTACGAGGGTGGGAAAAGAATCTGCAATGGGGTAGCTCCCTTTCACTGTTCCACATCTCTTATGTCACCCTCAGCACGGGGCAGTCTACAATGTTTCACTTTTACAAGTATCCAAATGCATTCGGATACTTTATGCCAAGAATGTGGTTCTGCAGTCTTTGTCCGGTAATGTCATAAATACGCTTTTTTTTAATTTGGACATTCCCCGAAGGGAGTAAAATGGGGGAAAGCAGGTAAAAAGATGTCGAGCAGTCTTGGAGACCTTGAGGGCCCTGGCGGGAGAGTTCAGAGCGTCATAAAAATACAATAGCGACTCGCAGCTGTGCCCTCGGGCCTTCAGACGTTGGCCAACAGTGTACAGCCTCTTGAGTGCACAGCTTTTTTTTTTGTTTCATCCGTCTGATCAAACCCGGCAATTCTAGAAATACTTTCGCTGAGTGGAATCGATGAGTTTCGGAGAATGAGGGACGTTTGTTCAAGATTTTTATTTTTTATTTGAGTAATTTAAAAGAAGTCAAGGAGGAAATAGAACTTGCTAGAACATTTCGTTTTTCTTAAATAAATGTGTAATGGAAATTGTCCGGACTTCGGGAAACGATAATTTTCTGCTCTGTTGGGATAAAATTGGAATTTGGTTCAGGAGAAAAATCATGAAATTTCAGATTTAAATGATAATTTGAGGATATTCAAGTACTTTGGCTATTTTTTCCCCAGTGAAAATGGTTTTCTACATTTGCACTCGAACATCAGATCCTTCATTCGAGCCCCATTTGACCCCAAGTTTCCGGATATTTTACAATGATTTTATTATTTAAACTTTGCAGGTGTGAGTTTCAATCTCGATATTGAAACGTTAGAAAACATTTTGAAAATGTAAAAAAAAATTAGAAAGTTTACTTTTGCAAGAAATTGCAATTGTAGAAAATTACATTTTCTACGAATCATTTATAAACAATCAATTTCCCACCATAAAAATCATTAGTTTGGAATCGTAACAAATTTATTCGTATTCAGAATTTTACCATAAATCGATTTTATCCCTAAAAAATGAGGTTTCCGAAAGTTTAAACAATTTCAATTATTTATTTATAATCAATGAATATTTTTAACAATAATAATTCTGCGGGAAATGTAATTTAAATAACGCTGAATTTTTCGAATTTCTGTTAATGTTCTTATTGTTTACAATAATTATATTAATTTTTAAGTAAGGAAATTCCTTGAAATTCCAGTGTGTAATAAAAATTTCCAGAAATATAAATCGAAACGAATTCTGAATATTTCAAAAAGTTGATTATTTATGAATGATTTGTGAATAAAGCCGAGAAAAACTTGAGAATATTAAAATGGGGTAAAACAGGGGTTGATTTTCCTCATCGTTTTTCGTGTTGTATCTGGAAAAACACGAGAGCGATAAAATCTAATGGATCCAGGTGGCTGCAAGCAGGAGCTTTCTGCACAATTGCGATAAATTATTTATCCTGAGCCCGGGGTATTCTCTCGCTTGGATATTTGCCAAAGAATCTATCAATCTTTCAACTCTCTCTTATTGTTCCTTCGCTTCCCCTTGCACTCGATTCCATCGGATTGCCTTTTTTTTTTTCAACATGCGGAACAAGGCACTTGGTCTTTCCTCCTCGAGAGATTGTGAGCTATCGCCTTTAACGGCCGCTCGATCGATTGAGGGAACCCTCGCGGGAATTGGTGGAGAGATGGGAAGGGACCGAACTGTGGAAAAAAGTTTAACTCGAAATCTCATGTTACTCTTCCTGTTGGCGAGGGTTAGGGTCTTGTCCGGAGGTTTTTTTCTCGATTGTATCGACTTTTAATGTCGTTGTTTGCTGATAATTCTGTTGTTTCATCTGCTGTGATATTTTTAACAGCGACTATTTTACATGAGTTTTGTACAGATGTTGACAATGGGAAATTTGTTAATTTCTTGGATATTCAAGGGAATTGTAATTTTCAGATCGATGTGACAACGAAAACTTGAAATTCAAGCAATTGTTTTTGAGAGTTTTCAAACTGTTGAAGATTTGAAGAAAATTGTTCAATTTTTGGAATGAGTTTGAGAATTCAAAGTGCAAAAAATGGATGAAAAATCATAAAAGCTGCATCAGTCGTTTCAATTGAAAAAATAATATCAAGTGACAGTTTTATTGAGTTTGCAATGAATTTCGTCGTTAAAATTTCGCAATTTGATGGAAAAATGGATAGAAACTTTGAAGTTCAGTTCAATTTTTCAATGAAAATTAATAGAAATCAGAAAAATTGAGGTGAATATACACTTTTAAAAATTGTAGTTGAAATTTCCAATACATTTTGTCAAAGAATTACTCGTGTTTTGTTGAAATTTCACGTAAATTCGAGAATTCCATTATTTTTTCTGCTCAAAAATGTATAATTCCATTCAATTTTCACTGAAATATTAAATTTTATTATTTCTTCACCCTAACCGAACTTTAATGTTCTGAAAATTACTGAATTGTCCATAAAATTTCTTTCTTTTTCAATATTCCACTCAAGGATATCCGGGTATCCAACCATTTTCAATCATCAAATTTATCAATTGAATTGCGTGAGGAAATTTCGAAAAAAATCACAAATATCCTCTCATTGTTGATAAACCATTGAAATTGTTTAAATTTTCTGAAACCTAATTTTTTACACATAAAAGCCTTTTCTGAAATGATTTTTATCGTGGAAAACGGATTGTTTATAATTTACTTACAAAAAATGCTCGCAATTAAAAAAAAATTACAATTGTTTAATCATTTCATTAATCTTCCTCCAAAGTACAATTCCTAATCTGGTTTCAGATTTTTAAAACAAAAGTAGAAGAGCATTTAACCCGAGAGAAACTAGCCAAATCGCTTGGATATAATTAATTCTCTTTATTGTCGGATTGAATGCATCGACAGACTTCAATCGGATAGTTTTAAACACCTTGCGATGGATTGACAAGTGGGCGAGAGAGGATTGTGCTCGTACTACAGTGGAGGCCGATGACGACGGTAGAAGTTAAAGTTTTAATGAAACGAGTCGAGTCCAGTGGAGGATATAACCGGTTCCACGGGTTCTTGCGCCCTCCCCTCTCTCGCTTTTTCTCGCATATACACTCGTTCTCCTTTTTTACCCCCGTTGTTTTTGTTTTTTCAGAGAGCCTTGTACCACCGGGTCAGGAGTAACAGAATTCTAAAACTATCACACTTTAAGATGTTTTTTTCCGTCAAAGTTTTCCGTCCCTTTAAATTGAATGAACCAGAGAATGTAGGGGGGGGGGGGGAATTCTCAGAGTCTGCGTGGTTGTGAAATGACCCCCGGTGAGTCACGATCGATTCCGAGAGGGGTTTCGTGGGAGGGGAAGTCGTCAAGTATACTCGAGTCGTTTGATTCCACTTCCTGCCGTGAGTCGTCATATTTCCGCATTTTCAGAGGATAATGGGCAAAGGAGTGGGGAAATTTCAATAGTTTTCATCCCAATTTTCTGTTTATACAGCAGGAAAAATAACTTCAAGTGTCTTTACTTAAAGAAAGAAAATTAAACTGGATGTAGATAATTCATTAGAAAATGAATAGAAGTGGAATTCAGTAGGGAAGTGGTGAAACGGTTTAAGTAGACATCTCCCAGTTGAGTTTTTGAGGAATATTTCCGAATCTAAGGGAGATAGCGAAATTTTCGTAATTACCTTTGTTGTAGCTCTCAATTGGCTCTACGAAAAAGGTTGTAACAACAATTTTGCTGTCTCCCTTAGATTCCGAGATATTTGTTGAAAATTGACTTGAAACGGTTTATCACTTCGTTTATCACTTCTAATTGTTGTTAAAATTAAACGAGTTCTTAAAAATGAGCAGATACTTTTTAAACCGAACAACTGTTTGTTTATTCGGGCTCTTAAAAACTAATTTTTAAACGTTAACTGCAGCCACGGAGAAACGAATTAATTTCGCGTGTTTAATTAAAGAAAAAAATTTAACTTGAGCAAGAGAATTTATCGGG